TATATATATGTCTGTGTGTGTGTGTGTGTGTGCTTGTTTTTTTCATCACAATCTTCGTGAAAAATTTTTAAAATGTGTCACGTTAAGTCACTTATTGCTACAACTTTTTGTATGTCACAAAAAATCTTATCGCAGAATTACAGTTTTGTTGTAGTATAAGTATTCTTCTTTCACTCAATTCATTGGGTGTCTGGTGCGTGGGAAAATGCTACACCTTCTTTTGGAAGCAGGTATCCTAAACTGGAAGAATTGCGATGGAGGTGGATCTGTAGCTGCAATTTAAGGATTTCAGGGGGCTCAACAATGGAGTTTTTATTTTTTGCTTTTTCTAATTGGATTTTTAACTTATTTTAATGTAATAAATGGAATGTTACTATTTTACCCTTTCAAAAATATTAAAAATATGGTCAAAGTCAAATTTGTTAATTAACCAACAAATATTTGGATGAAAATCGTCCAAAAGAGTGTGACGATTGTAATAAATTAAAGGTTGGGGAAAGTATGCTAATGATTTAATGGTTTGGGGCCTCTACTGCAATTTCCCTTAATTCTAACCATTAGATCACACAATTTCAAGGTTGATGGTCTAGACTGCACCTTATCAAAAGTTCGTGAAACTTTATTACACACCTTTTGCACAAGAGACACATCCAATCGATGCACAAATGGAAAACTTTTCAATCTGCACATTTTTATTCTTATATTACGCTAAAATTTCAACACAAGTAGCTCTCCTCTCAACTCATTATCATTAACAAATCAATTAATCATTGATAATGTAATTAATTGCAATCATAACATTAATAAAAAATTCTCAATATTAATAAAAAAAATAAAGGATTCAAATTAAAGCTACGTGCCCGTGCTAGAAAATCAGCCAGTACGAGAAAAACAAAAATTGAAATTGAAAATTTTCAGCGGGCCTAGGAAGAAAAGGCAAGAAAGTGAAGCAATCTTACACTAAACTTGAATTCTTCTTGTTCAACGAATTACTCAAATCCTTGTTCATTACATTGTATTTTTATCTCGATTTTTTCCTTCAACAATATCTTCTGAACAAAATAAAAGTTTACATATATATTGGCCTTCTTAAGTCTTGAAAATGTCCAAAATTTGACCAAAAAGCCCTTAAAATTAAGTCTAAATTGGAAAATGTAAAAATCATGTTCATGCACGAAAGAATGACACATGAACAAAACAGGAGCTGCTGCACGCGGATAAAATTTGAAGAGAACTGCTATTCTAAATCTCTCCTTGTTCAAATTTAAAAAAAAAATTTAATAATAATAATAATAATAATAATAATAATATATTCACCAATATGTTCCTTATTATCCTTATTAAATTCAATAATTTATACAATATATATCCATTGCACTTTAAATCTATTACTATTACATTGTAAATTTAAAATAAAATAAAATAAGGTATTATATTCATCTCCATTACATTACATTTCAACGTTACTCTTATTAAATTCATTCATTTGCACAATATATATTTATAATGTTCAACGAAAAATAAATTATTTATAAAAAAATAATGGAACATATATAGTGCTATACAACCTGTGAAAACAATCAAGACTACTATATTATGATATTTTACAGCACAGTACGTATAAAAGTTTATGGATTTTGACCTTTTGTTCTCATATAATCACATTCCTTTCATCGATTTTTAGGGTTTCGTCCAATTTACTATCTGCGATCGGTGAAGATGGAGTGACTATACGTTAACACTTTTATTTTTGTTGCTTCCCTATATAAGTTGAGAGGCACAAGTAAACAAGAAGACAAGAAAAGCATCAAGCCGTGCACTGGAATAAATGATAAGGGACTTCAAATTCACCTTGTCTTCCTAAGAGCTCTCTTTAGCACTGTTCTCTAAAGTGCTGCTGTGAAGTTGTCCCTGAAGTTCCATCATTATCTAGTAAGTAACGTAATCTGTTGTAAAATAGCATATATATATATATATATATATATATAGAGTGTGATAGATGTATAAAAGTATTATGGATATATGGTGTTTAATGAATGAATTTAATGAGAACAATGTTGGACTATAATATGACTTACCAGAACTTTTGCTAAATTTTAATCAAACTGATCTATGTAATCGCTTGAAAATGCTTCTTATCTCTAGTAGAAACTTAGCCAGCCATAAATCCTAAATTACTATTAACATTTATTTTATTAGTTTACAAAATTTAGTGTGATTATTCGATTTCTTAATGGACAATTTTTTTGGTATGATTTGAATACGCGTATATATTTCATTAAACGAACCTTTTTTTGCCATTTTATAAAAATGGAAATAGGCGAACTTAATCTACCAAAAATTTAAAACAAGTTATACGTTACACTATCGAGATGAAACTCAGCACTTCTCAGTTAATTGGAAAATGGATGAATTATCTTTGTTAATCGATTTCTCGTTGCCGCTTTTTTTAGGAGGAGATTTTATAAACAGGGATCTATTATATTTTTGAAAAGATTGAGAATCCTGCAATTGTCCTTCATTCTTTAGATTTTATTATTATTTTTATTTATTTAAAGAGTACAGAAAAAATGGAGGGAAAGACATAATTTGCAATTAAGTAAAAGGTTGGACATGTCTGAAGTTAAAAATAGGTTGGTGTACATTAGTAACAACTCGTAAAAGTTGGAAAAAAAAAATACGTTTACATTTCCCTTACTTTTAATGATTTTTGAGCACACTAGAAATTAATTATGTAAAGCCGGGTGTATAAATATGAAAAGGCTATAAATTTAAAGTTAGTTTGTTGGGCGATTAATTAATTATAATTATCTATTTATAATTAATGATAATTCTTGCGCACTTGTGACTTTTTTGGTTAGATACACCTACGGACAGTAAAGAAGGGGAAAACTAAATCGTATTTATTATTGTGTAGAGAGCATTATTTTGCCCATCGAGAGATAACATGTTGAAAGAATAAATATCTACCACCTGTGCAAATAGGCATATCATGAAACACTAAGAGGTTATTATATAAGCGTACATATTGAAAGAGAACTCGTTGAATACATAATCATTTACTAGCTATGTGGTGAATATACCTTACAGGGAAGAACAAATTTAAAAATCGTCATTTGGCAATACTCGGTACGAGTAAACCTACCACAATATAACACAATGAACAAACTATCACATACCAGCCCATTGTGTTGCAAATATCCCTAACAAGTGACTACGTTGCAAACATCATCATTTTGTCGTTGGCACAACTAGTATACTTAATCATCGTAAGTGAATGGGAAGAATAAATCGTCATTTACCTATTATGTTGTGAATATACCTACCATTGAAGAACATTATATAAATATCGGTGTAAATTATACAATTGAAGACAAAGAAACGACTGACCGCTTTATAAGGCTAATACCAAAACAATTTTATATTATTCAAAATAAATGAAAGATATTAGATTAATTAAAAATAAACTATTCTCTCTCTCTTTTGTTACTTTTTTCACATTAAAGAATCACAAATGAAAAGGAAGAATAATGGCAAAATGTGTTAACGTATCATAGTTGGATTAGCACAGAGTAATAGAGTTATTATGATTGAATAAACTAAAAATCATCACATATATGTTGAGTATTTTCATTTCTTATATATAAAATCACTGTGGAGTCAGGGACGGCATAAAATTTCAAGGAACATTTATAAATGGTTTAACTTATAAATAGATAGAAATGAGTGACGGTGAAATTTGACATATATAAATTAATTTGAGTATTTATAAATTGATTTATAAAATTTGCTAAAAGGAAGCTAAGGGTGCGTTTGATTTGCGTTTTTGTTTTCTATTTTGAAGGATTACTTTAAGGTTGCAGAAAATGTATTTGGTTCGTAATTCTGAAAAATTGTTTTTCGAAATTAAAAATTAGAAAATGCGTTTGGTTTAAAAACTTTAGGAATAGTTTTATTACATTTTGGAGGAGCATGGGAAGAGAGAGATAGAGAGAGGGAGAGAGGGGTATTTGTATGTGGGTAAATTTTGTGTGATTTTATTACTATTTTAATTTGAAAAATTTTTAAACTCATTTTCCTTATTTTGAGTTTTATGAGTGTTTACCTTGAAAACACTCAAAACGTCAAAAAGTCTTTTTGAATTTTATGTTATAAAATTTTCTTATTTTCAAAAATCGCAATTTCAAAAATAATATATAAAACACATTTTAGTATTTTTCAAAATTGAAAATGGCCTCAAAATAACAAACTAAACGTACTCTAATTTTTATTTTTATTTTTTCCCTTCCTGTTAAAAGACTACAAAATTATGCGTACAAAAAATTTATATAATGATTCCAAAGAAGCTTTTGAGACCTCACCTGTTAAAATGTGGGTCCTACCTAAATTGCATGTCTGACTCGTCGAAACTGGCCAGGAAGAAGTATTAATTATAAGACATCCCCCCTTCCCCGGAAGGATTACTGCAAGTTCTACCATAAGCCCTTTATACGAGCCCCTCGTAGCCATTATTATGCAGCTCTCTGCATGAACTTCATGATCTGCAGAGTACTCACAGTTGAAGTCAGCCATTCCATATAATTCACGCTTTTCGGTTGCTCCTTTAGGGCCTTTCATCATCTGTTTCTTGTTTCTTAATCGTGCACATATGCAGAATTACAGTTCTACTAGTTTTCTGACATTTCTACAGTACATTTCAGAGAGAGAGAAAATGTCCCCTGGACAACATACTTGCTGCGACAAACAAAAAGTTAAGAGAGGGTTGTGGTCACCTGAGGAAGATGAGAAACTCACAAGGCATAAATCTGCCTACGGCCATGGCTGTTGGAGTGCAGTTCCTAGACTTGCAGGGATAACTTTTGGAAACTTTAATTTCCGAACACACGTGTGTGTGTGTGTATGTGTGTGTAAATACAGTGTTTGCACCTAAAGAATCAACATTTTTTTTAAATACTTTTAAATCACGGTCGAAGGATTTCATCCCTCCCCTAAAAGGAGGCTTGAACTGAGTCCGAGAAAAGACTTTGCTCTTATCTCTTCATCTAGGCTTGGCCTCTATTGGGATTTCATTTATATACATAGTTACATCAGTTTTGTTCTTATTTTGGTGAAGAGTTGCAGAGATGCGGCAAGAGTTGCAGGCTAAGATGGATGAATTACTTGAGGCCGGATCTGAAAAGAGGAAGTTTTTCTCCAGAAGAAGCTGCTCTCATAATTGATCTCCACAATATTCTTGGCAATAAGCGAGTGCCATGATCCCATAATAATGTATTATTTTGGTATCAAATCAATGCAATTTTCCTTTTCGCAGGTGGGCTCAGATAGCGAAGCATCTTCCTGGAAGAACAGATGATGAAGTCAAAAACTTCTGGAATTCAAGCATCAAGAAGAAACTCATGGCAACGAATCTTTCTCATTCGACCAGGAGCAATTTTCAAGGCTTGAGCTCAATCAATTTTAACTCTTCTCTGATCCCAACTGCACAAATGGATCAAGTCTACATCCCTCCTGCAGCCCCAAATAATCCAGCGCCACAAGGGTTTGGTCAGGTGAATTTCAATGCTTATTTAATCCCAGCGCAGACTCCTTCTCCCATATCATCTATGGATTCATCTGCATATAATCTGCCTCCACCGGCATGAATGACATCAGAATACCATCAGCCTCAACTGGTTGGTCATCAGAAACAATTTATCAAACAGGAAGATACTTCCATGTTCATCAATGGTGGTCCAGCGGCTCAACAGTTTTTCAACGCGCCGCCATTAATGAGGAATTATGTGGATACATCAGTAATTAATGGGCTGCCAAAGGTATATGAAATGACCAATGGGAATCAGTTTGGAATGCATTCATCTGTTCCACCAGTTCCTGAACCGGTTTCTGAAAGTTTTTCAGGATTCCCTTCCGGGCTTTATGTACCTGAGATGCAGGTGCCTGCCGTATGTCATATTCAGTTCATCGAATCACTAATGTAAGCATTCAACTCATCATCCTCGCACTCGCAAGCACTGCCACCACTACCATGCACCGGGCCATTTCTATTGAACCCTAATCAGCATTCAGGCTGGATCAATCCCTAGACGTGGTGGTGCTCAAATAAATTTTCAGATCTATGGCAAGAATCATTAAATGCCATGAATAAGAGTTTTTTAAGGTTATAATGCTATATCAATAATAATAATTAAAAAAAAAATGCTTCTCATTTGGGATTTCCAGCGTAATTTTCCAATTTGATGGATGTTCACAAAAAAAGAAGTACTATCCTTCATATGTTTATTTTTGTTGAATTTCACTTATTCAGCTAGCAATTTTTATTTTTGATTTATTATATTCTGATGAAAGACCTCAAGGACTGTTTTGAGTACATTCTCTCCTAAAGTTTAATATTTATAGCCAATTTGGGGGAATAAAACTAGCTTAAATTGCAATATTAAAGAATCAATGAAAGAATTCTATGTGTTCTCTTTTGCGTGCTTTTGTGAGCACAGACAAGTCCATAAATAATTCACATAAAATTAAATCGTCAAATTGAAGAGCATGCAATTACATCATACATTTTTTAATGCACGAGGCTGTGTTTACCTACCATAGTCAACACACAAGAAAGTGAATGAACTAGAATATAATAACTTTTTTAAAAGTAAAAGTTAGTGTCATATTAAATTACTTTTTTATATAAAGTGCACGGGTTTAGGAGTACCAACAAGTTTGTATACATATACATATCCATGCATATTATAAGACAATCATTCAGGTGTCAAACTAGATTTGACCCATTGGTATATATTTGTAGAGTTGACATACTAGAATGTACATATCAATTTGATGCAACTTACATTGTACAGGTAGTAGTACGTATCTAATATACACGCTTTTAGTGTCTAATAAAAAGATTGCACGCATAATAAATTTTTATTTTTTAAGTGCACACATGATATATTGCAAATGATGTGTGATAGGCATGTTCAATTAGGGATGGACCCATGATTATGGTTTAGTGAGGGAGAGAGAAAATTACATAAAAAATAATTAGGTTTAGGTTTAAAATTATGGACTAAAATTATATGGGCTTTTTTAGTGTCAAAAATTAAGGGTCCATTGGGGGCAATTAAGAGGGTCTAGGGATCAATACACTAAAACTTGAGCACATATTTGTTCAAAGGGTCTAGGGGTTTTTAGCTTCCGTTTACAATTTATAAATTGGTTATCAATTAAATCAAAGATAAAAATTAATTTCAATCACAAATCCATAATTATTACTCAATACTATTCACATATTTCATGAAATTCAATACTATTAATTTTTATTATTCATTTATGAATTTATCAAATGGATTATCAAACTCTTTTAGGATCTCTTAACATTTATTAAAGGTCTCTAACATTTACTAATATGTCACACTCATGTCTACAACTTTTTTAATCACAATATTATTCTCAACCTTCCATTACTTAACACATATTGAACATGATTACATTGTCTATCCAAGATTTATATAAAATTATATAAGCGTGCTTTAATATGAGAAAAAATAGTTAGTCGCATTTTTGTATTTGCTATTTTTTTTATTTAAAAATGTAAAGAGATAAAAATAAGTCTCTTTTTGCCATTTTAATGGAATTTTTGGAAGAAAAAAAATGCACTTCATCAAGAGCATGATGTGATAAATAATGAGAGACTAAGGATAAGAATACGATTGAAAAAATTCAAGGACATTGGTGTGCTAATGTGTAAAAGTTAGGGACCTTTCATACATTAAAATGTGGCGCTCTTATAAAAAATGTGGTTTCAATATAATCACCATTTAAAATTATAGAAAACTCCCTATAAATATAAATTTTTCAGTTTTCCATTTTTTCTTAATTTCACCATTTCCTAAACAAAACTAGAACTCAGGTCATTGACATGGTAAGGCTTCACTTTTACCACTTGAACTAGACATTGATTCTAATTTTGCCATTTTGTACTATGTTAAATATAAAACTAAATTTTGACTTTTTCTTCGATTTATTTGTCAAAATAAACCTATCTATTATTTTATAGAAAGGAAATGAATTGATCACAGAATTCTTAAAATAGAATTACTTATTGCAAATATTTATTGTAATTTGGCTCAAAGAAGAACATTTAACACTTTATACATCCATGTCCTTCCCCCGTGGGGATTTTTCACTGGACGGGGTGGGGTAGAACTAAAATGTCCCAATTTACTTATTCATCTATTTTTAAAATTTGTATTAAATTTTAAAAAATAAAAATAAAAATCAAGATTTCGTGGTAGAATAGGCGATGCAAGTTGCAACATGGTATTTTGTCCTTGCCTGTAACTTGTTTGGTCATGTTTGAAGGCTTCTTTTTTAAAATAATAGATAAAGAGTCACAAATGTTACATGAGAGAAAAAAATTGGAGGAGCGAAGATAGTTAAATATTATTCAATAATAGTATATATTTATATCATAAATACGTAAATCTGAAATAAGAAATAAAGTTTTACTTACAACTGATTGCCGGGGGGGTCCGTTATTGAAACAAACCAATGGGGCACAATTTTATTTGACAAAAATGTGTTTAAGAGGTTCCAATGCGAAAGTTATCCATAAGCCATTCCTTTTCATTTTTCAAAACATGAAAATTTTGAAAAGCCCAAACACGATATTAAACACAAGATACTAGGGATCGATATATAATAGGCAAATCAAAACTTGCAGAAAAGTAAAACTAAACACAGAGGAATTTTTCGGCTGAAACCCCAGAGGTTCGCTAACCCTTTCAACACCTAGCCTCCTGTTGAGCATCCATTCAAGAACAGATATTGCTTGGTTGCACTATAATGCCTTAAACTAGCAACGAAGGTTACAAATGTTTAGTCAATACCAGAATACAGTATAAGAGACTTATCTCTTCACAAAGAATCAACAAATCTAATCGAATCACACAAGAAACTACAGATTTGACTTCACGAACCCAGAACACTAGTTCTCACAACTATTACAGATTTCACATAAAAAATCACAAACATTCAAGACTAAACTCTCAAAATATCATTTCGAATGAGATGTTAAAAAATAATGGCAAATCAAAAAACCCTAGCCACTCAGAGAAGAGGAACTCTCTCGAAATGAAAAGGCAAGAGAAAAATCTAAGGCCAAACGAATCGTCCAAGGGTATTTATATCACCAAGACCATTTGACTCATACAACGGTTCATGATGTGCCAAGTGTCAGCATCCAGTGTCAAGATCACTTTATAAAATCGTATTTCCATAAAACATTTTTAGTTGAAAATTATGGGAGCACAAAGAACCAGGTACGAGTCACAACAATCTCCACATTGCTACCATAGTTTTCAAGTCATAGTGCAGCCAAGGAGCATATCACATTCTCCTGTTTCATACGCTCCAAAAGTACATGCTAAAAAAGGAATTACAATGTAGCAATAGATAATATCTTCAGATAGTTTGTAAACTTGTTTAAAGATATTATCTTGGTCCCCATATCAGAAGGATTAACCTGAGTAGCAACCTTCCCAATTTTCAAAATTCCTTTTGAAATTATATCCCTTATAAAATGATATTTAACATCTATGTGTTTAGTTCTATCATGATACATGGGGTTTTTACTTAGATGTATGGCACTTTGGTTATCTGAATATAAAGTTGCATTTTCATCAACAAAACCAAGTTCCTTTAGTAATCAACTTAGCCAAATTCCTTCTTTAAAGGCATCAGAAGTAGCAATATATTCTGCTTCAGTAGAAGATAAAGCTACAATCTTTTGAAGTTGAGATTTCCACCACATAAGGTAAAGAAATAGGATGAAGTTGATTTCCTATTGTTCATATTTCCAGCAAAATCTGAGTTAGTAAATCCCTTTAAAGTTACCCCTTCTTTATTCAACTTAAACATGAGACCATAGTTAAATGTCCCTTTCAAGTATCTTAAAAGCCATTTCAAAGCATTCCAATGTTCTTCCCCAAGATTACTCCTAAATCTGCTAAGTATACTAATACTGAATGCAAGGTCGGGTCTTGTGCATACCATCAAATACATCACAGATCCAATCACATTAGCATAAGGTACATATGACATTCTATCATATTTTTCAGGAGTTTTAGGGCAGAAATCAGAAGAAAGTTTGAAATGATTTGCTAAAAGTAAAGTAACAGATTTACAATCAAGCATATTAAACCTTCTTAAAATTTTATTCACATAATCATGTTGATTTAAGAACAATATATCGTTTTCTTTATCTCTAAAAATTTGCATACCAAGAATCTTTTTGGCAGCTCCTAAATCCTTCATATCAAATTTAGATTTAAGTTTCTGTTTAATAAACTCAATCTCAGATTTATTGCAGCTGGCAAGTAACATATCATCTACATAAAGTGCAAAGTATAGGGAGTTTTTACCTCTACAGTAAAGGCATATGTCATAGTTGCTTCTTTGAAAGCCAAGTTTTAGCACAAAGGTGTCAAATCTTTTGTATCATTGCCGTGGGGCTTATTTTAAACCATACAAAGATTTCTCTAAAAGACATACAACTTTTTCTGAATCACCTTTTATAAAGCCAACATGTTGTTTCATATAAATTTTTTTCATCTAAGTGACCATACAATAAGGCAGTTTTAACATCTAACTG